TTTCTCCTTTTGTTTCTTTTTTTTCAATATAGGTAACTGTGAGAGTTGAAGACATCAATGACAACCCTCCAGTTTTCTCAGCATGGATGCAAACTCATTTATCAGCTCCTGAGAATGCAGCTGGTCTAGACTTGGGCACATTTTCTGCTACTGATCTGGATGTAGGAGATAATGCACTTATCAGCTACTCTCTGCAAGATGATTTTGCTGGAACATTCCATATTAACAGTTCTACTGGCCAACTGATGACCAAAAAACCCTTAGACAGAGAAGTGATGGACAGTTATGAATTGAAAATAATTGTAAGTTGACAAATTTGATGCAAGTTCACAGCATTAGAAAAGAGGAAATACTGAACCATCACAAGAAAACCCCTTAATCTTAGAGAATTCCATTTGAATTCATGCATGAGTTTTGACTGTTCCTTATGTTTTGTATGCAGAGCTCTGTTTTCTGCTCTGTAAATTGGTATTAGTGAATAAATTGCTTATGAACCCTAAATCTTAAAGGTTACAGTGACACAACAGCTGCAAACATTCCTGGCTCCATTTTTGACCATACAGCTGCCTTGCCTATCTGTGTTATTTGTCCCTTTCCCTTATTTTGTTCCCTTATTCAACTATATGTCCTTAGATCTTTTATAAAATACCTGAAATTAGATTTTTCAAGTGGAAAAAAAAGAAAAAGCATAAACTTTAAACTTTCACTCAACATCCCTGAGGTTATCTATTCATTCTAGCTGCTTTCATGGATTTTTACTGCTGCTAATCAGATCAATTACTGTGCATACAAAGAAGTGTTCCAGCCCTGACAAAATATATTTGTTTGTTCCATCAAGTACAAATATATTAAAGGACATTTTTGCTGGTCAAAGAACTTGTGGAAGATATAGAGGAGACATTAAAAATGAAGCCGTGTCTTCAGAAAAATGTCAAGTTAATAACAGTGGACACTTTGTAAGACTAATTGAAAACTGTGCATATGTACCTAGAGATGAGAATTTTCTATGGCAGAGGTTGGAGCAGTGTAAAACTGAGTGTGAATTTGCCACATACTGGATGCTCTTCACAACTTGCTATTTTGGCACTTTAAACCCTCAAAATGCCCGGGATTTCCTCATTCTCTCAACTACCAGAGCCCAGCTATGTGTACATCACAGTCCTGTGTTGATTAGTGCCACATCTGATCCCATGCCATGTTTGATCTGCATCCAGCTGGAGCTTTTGATTAATTGTTAATGAGAGGCAGAACATGTGATGGGCTGAGGATCCAGCTGCAGGAAGATGTGGCAACTAACCAAGCGCAGGGTAGAGAAGTGTCTCTGAGGGATAACTGATCCAGCAGAAAGACTGCAGAGGCAAAAACTCACAATTTTTGGAGCAAAATTGAACAGGCAGAGTAAATTTGTGTCAAAGTAATGCTGTTTTTAATGACAAGTTGTTCCTTCACAGGCCACTGATTCTGGGAAGCCACCACAATCTGCAAGCTTAGTTCTGAGCATCACTGTGGAAGATGTGAATGACAACCCACCAGTGCTCCCCCAAAATTCCTACTCTGTGACTGTGAGGGAGAATGAGCCTCCACATGTGGTGAGAGGCACTGAGAATAAGCAGTGCCCTTGTTTTCTCTCTGGGCACCTGGAAGGGGCAGTAATCTCTCATGGCTGTGCATTGGTGAACATCATTTTTTAATCTGTGGAATCACACAGTGTGTTTGGTTTGTATGACAGAGGAGTACCTGCCCCACTGATTCCTCCCAAAACTCTGACAAAGAGTGGGAGCTGCTCCCCCTTTCCCTCTCATCCTCAGCAGTGATTCCACACTGCACAGGCTGAGTTTTCACTGGATCTGTGGGCAATGTGTTCTAAAGATGTTTGGTGCTGTAGGTGTTGTGCATTTATCCAGCATCCCTCTGTTCTTAGAATCATGGGATGGTTTGGATTGGAAGGGCCATTAAAGATCATCTTGTTCCAGCCCCTCAGCCATGGGCAGGCAGGGACACCTTTCTCAGGCTGCTCAGAGCCCCATCCAGCCTGGCCCTGAACCAGGGATGGGGCATCCCAGCTTCCCTGGGCAGCTCCCAGTGCATCCATTCCTGGCTCCACTTCTGCCTTGCACATGTGCCCTAAAGGTTACAGGAGTCAAGGGGAGAGGGGGCACCTGGCAGTCTGTAACTGCTCTGCCACAACTCCAGCAATGCAGTTAATCAGTTAATGAGTGATTCAGTCAGTAAACACTCTGTGGGTCAATACCAGGCTTGTGGGCATGTTTTGCCACTCTCTTTGCTCTGCTCTAAACCTTTTATTGCTGACTTTTTTTCCCTTTTCTTTTAGATTTTGAGTGCAGTGGCCACAGATGCAGATATAGGGTACAATGCCATCATTCATTACACCATAACTGGAGAGACAGCTTCGTTTCATGTTGGAGAACTTTCTGGAAATATTGCAACCCTTCAGCCTCTGGACTATGAAAGTCAATCCCAGTACAAGTTTATTCTGAAAGCTTTCAATCCTGGAGAGCCACATCTCCAGGACACAGCAAACATTACAGGTAGCTCTGCTTTACCACAGAAAATGAACTTTCATTAACAACCCTAGGGAATATTTCAGCATATGTAATTATGAAATATAAACCAATATTAATGCAGTCTGCTAGAGTAAATTATCATAAATGATAGTGTGATCTTTTCACTACAACCAAATGAAATTTTTCTAAAAAAAGCTTGCCATGTCAAAAATGAGGATTTTTCACACAAACTGACATTACTTCCTTCAATATAGTCGCAATTTTTTTTCTGTTTTCTAAGAACCTATTGGCATTTTGATTGAAAAGGTTTCCAAAAACGTAATTCAGGGGGTTTTTTTCTGCTTGTATACAGAAGGGCAGTTTCTAGGGTGATAAACAGTGTTGACAGTGAGTTTTAGTCTTGTTAAAATAACAGTCCTTGATTGCTGGCTTTTTTTCCCTTAAAAAAAATTAAATAACTTTGTTCTGTTGGAGAAAAAAGACATAAAGATTTTTGTGAAGTTGGTATCCTAGCTCTTGGCCAGCCCTACTTTTGATCAGTATGACTGGATATATTCTCATTCAGAGGAGCTGTGTTGGTTTATATTAGCTGAAAACAACAACTGGTAATCATTTGGGTAAAACTCACCAAATGTGATGATTCTTTCTCAGTTACTGTGGAAGATGTCAATGAAGAAGGACCTGAGTTTGACCAACCCTCATATCACAGGATCCTCCTAGACAATTCTACAGCTGGCACACTGGTAGTGGACATCAATGCAAGAGATGAAGGCAAGGCTTATGATGAAGGCATTTTCTACAATATTTCAGGTATGTTAGGAAAAAATCTTGGGGCTGATTTATCACTGGGATACTTGACACTGCTACAGCAAGCTGCATGACACCAGAATGAGAGAGAATGGTCATAAACTGAACTGCTGGGTTCTGACTGCATAGAAGGGGTAAAAAGTCCTCTGTGAAGATCAATAATTAAAGGAAGAGGTTGCCCAGAGAGGCTGTCCTTGGAGATTCTCACCTGATGGAGCAAAGCCTTGAACAGCCTGTGCTGAATTCACTCCTGGCCATGTTTTGAGCCAGGAGGTTGGACCAGAGGGGGTGTCTTGCTCCAAGTGTAGGATTTCAACCTGTGCCTCCTCACTCCTGGGCATGCACTGCAGTCACTTGTCTCTGCTGGCTCCAGGGAACATCTCCAACACTTCTTTTTCTGTTTTCAGGTGGGAACTCAGAAGGCCTCTTCAGTCTTTCCAGTGCCACAGGAGAGCTCAGGCTAACAAGAGACTTATCCACACAAACTGTTCCCCAGTACCACTCCTTGAACGTCACTGCCACGGATTCGGGGCTGCCGCCTCTTTCAGCCTCTGTGAAGGTACCAATGTTTCTGCCTGGCCCTCTCTTCACTTCCTCAGATTGCTTTATTCTAAACTGAGCACTGCCACACCAGGAGAGGGGTATTAGTCAGGCAAAACGATGCAAACCAGGAATCAGAATGTCAGAGATTTATTTCTGACATGAACGACATAAATGTCTGATTTATTTCTGTTTCAGGCTACAAGATAACAGTTACCAAGTTATGCTGCCCCAGCAATTGCTGGCACAGCACCCAGAATGGTTGTGATCATTCCATTTCAGAAAAGACAGACAGAAGCTCCAGGCTGTGAGGGAGGAGGGGTAGAGCAGTAGAGACTTCTGTGTAAGGTCAAAGAGTGGGACAGCCAGAAAGGATGTAATGGAAATATGTGATAAATTAACAGGAGATGGCAAATAAAGTGTTCCTGTTTATTTTCCCCAATGTAAGAAAAATAATTTCTAGATTGAAGAGTGAGAAATGTAAATGTGATTTAAAAATTATTTTTACACAGTGCTTATAACTTGCTGGTGAACTTTTGCCACTAAATATCACAGCAGAATTGAAAAAAATAACTAGAAATCTATATGGATAAAGATGTAGAAAGTTACCTTCAACAACCTTAAAATGCAGACTTACAAGCCATCATTCTTCAGATGATTAGACAGCAGCTGTCTGGCAACAGAAATAAACTATTTTTGTGAAGCAGTAGGCATTTCTTATTTACCACCTCTCACCTTTTGTTCTTAATCTATAAATCTGTCACAATAATTTTAAAATACTGTGTGTGCAAATTCCTGCTCTGGTTACACCCTCTCCAGTGAAAGGCTGGAGATGAGTGCATCTCTCTGAGAGCTGCTTAGTTAGACATACAGCTCCTTTGAAATGTGCTGGATGTGAGGAACTGGAGCTCTGTATTTGGCAAAGCACCCAGGTGAACCTAAACTGATGAGTTTTTTGCTGTTTCCCATGAGTATTTGCTGCCTTCAGGGCAGTGTTAAACACAGCAGGCAGCAATCCCAGGCTTCTTTCTCCTCACTGGCCAAAGCCTGGACTTGTGCTGTCCCACACCTCAGTAGGATTTTGCTAAAGCATCCTTTTCTCTGCAGGTGTCAGTCGTGGTTGCTCCCATGGATGTGTCCTTCCCACTGTTCCTGGAAGAAGCCTATCACCCTGCCCCTCTGGCAGAGCAGAGCCCCCCAGACACGTTTGTTGTGGAGGTCAGAGCCTTGTACAAGCTCCCTGTGGACTACAGCATCACCTCTGGAGATGAGAAGGGTGAGCCCTGGATGTGGAGAACAGGAGGAGCCCTGAGTGTTGGGATGGTTTCTTCCCTCCTGCTTTCTGCTCTTCCCTCAGTTCCACAGCCATTAACACTGAGTGGGAATGAAGCCAGGGCACCAGTTTGGGGTGGATCAGGTGTGGGCATGGTACTGAATTTCTGTCAGAGCAGCACAAGGCACGTGGTGCAGGGCTGGCTTCACCAGCTCTGTGCTGTGTCTGCTGCAGGAAGATCAGGCTGGACCTGGTCAGGCATAAAGTTACTCTGGTTGGACAAAAAACAACTAATAGCACAAAAACTTCCAGGAGAAAAACTAACTCAGCAACGTGTGAGTGCCTAGAGTGAGTTTGCATGTGGTCAAGTGCATCAGTGCTTTGTCACATGTGGTTTATTGCTAAATATAGAGCTGATTTTAATCCATCATCAAACAGCCAATTTGTACTTCAGTTTTGTAAAGTGTTTTGTATGAAGTCGTGATCTTGAAGGTAGTTGCAAAACTCCTCATCTTCATTTAGAACAGGACTTGTTAGGAAATATAAAAAATATCTAACTGAAAGAGGGACAAATAATCTCTGACTGTTTCAGAGGAATGTGAATACCTGGCTGAAGAGTGGTGGATTGAATTTTTTCCCTTTTGGTTCCCATTGTTCTGAACTGTTTCTTTTTGTTAATTACAGCCCTGGATATATCTGACATTCTTGTCAACCTTGTAAAAACATTAAATTTCATTTTGTTCTTTGAAAAATACTATTTTTCAAAGAACAAAAAATATTGTAACATACAATATTCATATAAATAATCTGTACTTTTCACTGAAGGATTCATATCTTCAGTTTCAACTAATGAAATAATAACCAGAATAATTTCTGGTTGATTTTTTTTTGAACAGGATATTTCATCATCCATCCATCCAATGGTGTTGTAAGAACAAGTAAGAATCTAAAACTGGAAGATTTTCCAGTAAATTTCAAGGTACGAGCAACAGACTCCTCTAATGCTGCCATATTTAATGAAGTGGAAGTGAAGGTGGAAGTCCTTGATGAAAACAATTTCCCCCCAGTTTTCCCATCTTCTCTACTAGAAGAGAGATTGCCAGAGGTAAGAAAATGTCATCTAAACTGAATAACAAAAAAAGTCTTAAAAAAAAAAAGTTTGTTGAGTATACAAGTAAACCTTCAGGAGCTGGGCAGAGTTGCTGTTCTGTCCTACCACATGGTGTTGTGAGGTTTATTTCAATCCAAATGCACACCAAGAGTGATCTAAAAGTGTGGATTTATTGAAGAAAAAGTGAATCTTTTCTAATAGGGGGCTGCCTGAAGGAAGAACTAACACTACATTTTGAATATTTTACATAGAGAATATTCAGGTGAATTTGAAATCTACTGGATGTGCTGGGCACCCCATAGGCTCTCACTCAGCCTTTTGTGAGGGAGCTTCACACAGGGCAGTACCAGGGCACAGTCTCTAATTTAACAATATTTCTGCTCTTGCTCATGTACAGTCTGTTGTGATTTTGCTGGCACAAGTGATCAGCAGCAGAGAACAAGCCAGATCTCAGTCAGATTTTCAGACACTGTGGTTCTCTACAGAAGAAGCCACAGCATTTGAATATGTAAAAGCATCTTGCTCAACATTTCACTCTTCAATTTTGAAGCAAAACTTTTCACACTTTAATCTGCTGGTTGCTTTTTTTTTAAAAAAAAAAGAAGCACATTGATCATGTTGATATTTTATAGAGCACATACCTTGCCTTTGAGATCCCCACCTAATGCACACATATTGTCTTTAGCAGCCACCACTGATTTGAAGTCTAGTCCATTTCTACCACTGAATTAGAGGTTTAACTTATTACACATAATTTTAATGTTCCCAGTGAGTTTAATGCAGAAGAACTAGAATCACACTCCCCAACCTTAAAAAATTGATTTCCATGTGAAATATTTACACAGTGGGAATTGCTGGATCAAATAACTTCAGGTCTCAAATGGCCCTGCAAGTGAAACACTGATACCTTCTGTCAATCTTGGTGCAAAGAACATTGTTAAAAAGGAAAAATCAGATTGTTTATTTTGATAATTATTAGCCAAATAGTGTTCAGAAAGAAATGTGATTTTGGAGTTGAAAACACCCATTGAGTTTCACAGGAGAAGAGGCTGTTACACAGAAATAACAGCAAGTCAGATATTTAGGTTAACATTTGGGCTGTTTGAAATAATATTTCTTCCTGAAAATTGCAGCTATATGTAGAGATATGGGGGGCGGGGGGGAACAGTTATTTTCTGTAAATTAGAGAAAGCAAGAGACTCTCTTACTGTGTGGATCAAGCTGTATAATTTTGATTTAAAAATGTCTATACTAGTGTAAGTGGATGCAGTACCTGTTACTTTGACATAATTCAAGCAATTGCAGCAAAGCAGTCTCTGAGAGCCTCAATCCTTCTTCCTGCAGCATTCCCCTGCTGCTCAGATTGTGCAGCTGAAAGCTCAGGACAGTGACACAGGCAGAAATGGTTTCCTGACATATGGCATTCTCAATGGACAAGGACTGAAATTCAGCATAAATGAAACCACTGGAATCCTTTATTCCACTGCCCCCTTTGATTATGAAGAGGAACCCACAGAGTACCAGGTTTGCTTTAGATATTTTAAATCTTCTTTATTTTTCTCTTGGAAAACAGGTGGCACTTGTGCTTTTGTTTAGCTTGACAATGCTTGAGCATTTTCTGCACTGGTTTAGAACAGGAGCATCTCAAGGCATGAGGCATTATTGAAACAAGGCACTGCCTTTTGTCTAGAATGAAATTCAAGCACAGCTCATTGTTCACCTGCCCTGGAAACACTTCAGCACATGAATAACTAATTTCACAATGACAGCTCATGTATTCAGCCCTGTCTGTTGCCTGAACCTGTGCTGAGACCTTGCAGATATGATTCTCAGTTAATCTCCTTTCTGTTGCTGCCACTGCTGGATATTTTTATGGTCTTATTTTGCTTCAAGCAAAAATATTGATGAATTTGTTGGTTTTACACAGAATGATTTTTTTATTCACCCAAATACTCCTTAAGTTTTCAATAATCATTTTGAGGAGAATTCAGAAAGGGACTTTACATAAGAATATTTCAAAGATTAAAATTCCCCAAGGTTTTTTTAATCCTTATGCAAAAATCTCTTTGTATGATTTCTGACTTTCAATAACTGTGCAACTTACAGGTTGTGGTGTATGCTGAAGATGATGGGATCCCTGAGAAGAAGAGGGGTTACTGCACAGTTGTGATAAAGATCACTGACATTAATGACTGGCCACCTGTGTTTGATCCAGTGCCTGACTTTGGTGTCCAGGAAAACGTGCCTGTGGGATTCATAGTTGGAAAAGTCACAGCATCAGACAGAGACACAGGAGACAATGCCTTCATTCTGTATGAGCTCACAGGTAACAAGCAATTCTGCCACTGCACTGGCACTTTGTCTATACAATTATGAATATAATTACTATTACCCATGTTATTTCTTAACCTCTTTCCACCAAAGTCAAGAATGTTACTAATTCATGCTCATAAAATTTTCAAACCTTGGCTCATGTTTCAAATGGCCATCCACTCAAAATATTTATTTTCTTCTTCTACATTATCCAGACACTACTTAAAATTTGTTTTGATGAGTTCAGGGCGCAAGTAAACATATAACTTAAGAGTATATTTAATTATGTGCTGCTAAGATGTATTAATTGATGATGCTTGTTTAAATCTGTCTCAGGTGAGGGAGAAGATATATTTGAAATAGATGCAATAGAGGGCATCATTAAGATAAAGAACTCTCCAGACTATGAAACCATGAATAAATACAACCTCTCAGTGACTGCAGTCAACAATAAATCTGCCCCTTTCTATCAGGTAAGAGACCATTACTGTAATGAACAGCAACACTTGAGAGTGGATTTTGAACTGCTGGGAGGGAGATCCATCCCAGCCATTTATTGTGTAGAATAAATGAGTCACCTCATCATGTTTAGAGTCAGACTTCTACAGCCTTTAACCACACTGAGTAGTAGTATACTTTAATTATGTGAAATATTCAAAATGATGCATGGTAGGCTTTGACCCTGAATTGTTTGCTGGCTGACCTGTGCTGGGGAGCTGGAGTTGTCTCCTGCTGTTAGAACTGTAAGTGATGTGATAATTTGTCATGGGAGAAGAAGTATTTTCAGCAGATTGTTCTAGTTCTGCTGTATTTCTTTTATTTGAAAAGTTATTAGACACTTCTTTAACAGAATCAGAGCATGTGTGGATTTTCTTAACTGCAAGGAGGACATGTTGGTCTCCTAAACATGTCCTGCTCTTACTCATTCAGACACCTTTCAAGGAGAATCCTAGTGCAACACTGAATTCCTGCCTCTCCTGCTAAACTTCTGTAGGGATCTCTGATGCTGAGTTCACACAATTAAACCCAGACAACATTTTACTGCAGCCTTTTCCAAGCCTGATTTATCATTTCTGCTGCATGTGCACGTAAAGAAAACAGAATGCTAAATGAGAGTTTCTAAATACTCGGAGATGCATGGCACGCCTTTGTTTCCTAGGCAGCCATCCATGTCAGGGTTGCAGTGATGGATGTGAATGACAATGCCCCAGAGTTTGCCCAGAGCTCCTACTCTGCTGCCGTGAACATGGTGAATCCTGTGGGGGCTCCTGTCCTCACCGTGAGCGCCACTGACCGCGACCAGGTGAGAGATTCCTCTGTGACCCCTCAGCACAGCACATCCTGCTCCTCCTCCAAGCAGAAAGGGAACCCTGCTTCACTTCTGAGAACTGGAAATCAGGAGTTTAGCTGGCTCTGCCTTGACACTGATGTGCTCCCTGCTCTGGGCATGTTTCCTCAGCTTTATTTCCTTTAATTTTACCCTTTCCTACACAGAGCTGCATGCACCAGCACTTCATAAATATACAAGAACTGAAGCAATTTAGTGTTTCTGAAGTTATTTGAACTTTTGAAGTAAAAAAACCTGTAAAAACTAAATATCATATAGCTGGAAATGTGAGCTCACCAAACTCCTTTGAGCAAGGAAATGTCTGCTCACCAAAATCCTCTAAGTGTGGCACCCCAGCTGATTCTCTCTGTCCCCATTGTTAAATGTAATTTTGTTTGATATATCTGTACTACACCCATCAAATAGGATCCAGGCTCTGGCAGGGATATCCAGTAGTCAACCACATCACCATGACAACATCGCTAGTAATTATATCATTTACAAGATGAAACATCTCCAAGTGACAACAAAATAGGTGTAGCAGGTGCCTTCCTATTTCTTCATGCATAATTTTGGTTGGAATAGCTGCAGCTGTGGTACATTGCTGCAAATCATCTAACAGCCCTTTTTTAATCAGCCTTTTCAATGATTCTGTATAAGAAGTGCAATTGCCTTTGAAAATTGCTGAACTGTGGGAGATCTGCATTGAGACCCCAGTGAAACTCCTCCTTCAGCTGTGCAGAGTGGCACTTGTCCTCCCTGTGCCACCCTCACTACTCTGACTGTCCCCCTCTACATATCTAACTTATTTTCATTAGAGACTTTTTGCCATCTTTTTGCTGTGTAAATGACCAATGTATTGTCTTTTCTTCTGCTTTGTGTTTCTTTTTAATTTTTACACATCCTACCATAGCTTTCATTCTTAAAAAAAACCCAAACAAAACAGTGTTTCCAAAATAATTCCACTAGAGCCATTCAGATGTTTTTTGGATCTCTGTTTCAGTGTTTATCCTACCTTCCAAACACACTCCCAGTTCCATGAAATTGTGTTTCTTTCCTGGCAGGGGCACAATGGCCTCATTGAGTATTACATCCTCCCGGACGCCAACGTGAGCCCCTTCTTCCTGATAGAGGATTTGAGTGAGGGGAAGATAATTACAACTGGGAACCTGTCTAGGTCTGGAGAGATGCATTTGACAGTGATGGCAAAGGACAAAGGCTCTCCCCCTTTAAATGGCACTGCTGTGGTTACTCTGAGCGTGTTTGACAACCGTCCCTTCGTGCCTCGCTTCAACCAAAGTGAGATCAGGTGAGGCTTTCACATCCACTTAAATAACTGGGATGTCTTCACCAGGTAGTGCAAAACAGAGCAAACTTGAAGGTCACTTTCATATTTTTCCATGCAGAAGAAGGGACATCAGTTTTGGGAGTTTGTTAAAGCAAAACACAGGAAATTCTGCTACGCTTGGGTTCTGTGAATGTGAGCTGAGGCATTGTCTTTTATTTCTCTACTTTGCAGCTTTATAAGCCAGACTCTTTGTCCCTTTGCTCTTCAACACTATAAAACATTTTTCCTTCAGTTTTACTCAAGGATGACCCAAAATCTGACTGGAAAACCAGGGTTTGCACTGTATTCTGAAAGTTGGGCAGATCTGGCAAACAGCTGGGGGGAGGGGGCAAGATTTTCCACAGAGAACTCTTTTTTACAAAGTTAAATTTCAAAGCCTGCCTGGGCAACCACTGTTGGCAAATTTAACATTATGGTTCATAATTTATTTCCTGCATCAGCATTTCTGTTTCGGAAAACACTGGAGTGGATTATTTAATTTATGATTTTGCTGTGGCTGAAACTTCAGGCAAACTAATTGACTACACTATTGTATCTGGCAACGAAAGAGGTGAGTACCAGCCCCATTTTAAGTTAAAATAGCCAGGAGAACATCATAACCTGTCTTTTGCATGGGAGGTGCTGCTGTGCATAAATGAGATGGAGAGCATGGATAAAACTTTTTTAAAAACAGGAGTTTTTAAAAAACAGATAATTTTTTTCAGGGCTTTTCAGCATTGATTTTGCTGATCTTTGGCTTTAGGAAGGGTGGTAACTTGCTAAGAAATGGCTTCTTAAATTTTGAGGTAAGGGTAATTTAGAGAGTGGGGGAGCCAAAATAGAAAGTGTTGTTTACAAGCAGCTTCCTCCCTGCCAATCACTTTTAGTCCATCATTTACTTGCATTTATGTTAAGGCATCTGCCCTCTTGCAGCTGTGCCCAGGCTCCGTTTGGCCCACAACAAAGGAATTACACAGAAACTAAGAGAAAACTCAGAAATGCATTTAAAAAATGGAGCTGTGCAAGAAGGAGCTGCAATTCTCCTTATTTGTGAAATCATGTGAAATCCTTGTTCACATTTACTGCTCCTTGGCACGTTTAAGAGCTGTTTGGTGTGGGGTAGGAGCCCTGGTAGCTGTGGTGATGCCTTTGCTGCCTGGCCAGTGGAAGTGTTGAATTCCACATTGTTCAGAGCAGAGCAGCCATGGACGCATCCCAAGGGCAGCTAATGGCAGCTGTCGCAGCAGAAGTGTGTGCTTGTCCTTTCAGGTCACTTCAGACTGGATCCCGAAAGTGGTGAGCTGAGAACAGCAGTTAATTTGGACTATGAGGAAGTTTCTCAGTATGTGGTTTTAATTCAAGCAAACCCAAGAGTCTCCTCTGCTGCAGAAGAGCAGCGTTCAGGTAACTTCTCGCTTTAAATGACATTCCGGGGGAGCAGTGGACACACGTTTTGTGTTTGCAATGCACACAGGAGCTGTGATTCCCTTTAGGCTGTAAGGTTTGATGTAACCTGAGGAGGTGCAGGCTCTCACTGCTGTTTCCCCAGGGCTGCTTGCTGACAACGCGGCCCTGCTGGCCATCTCCGTGCAGGACGTGAACGAGCAGCCCGCCTTCCCCAGCCCCTCCTTCCGTGCCCGCATCCCCAGCTCTGTGCCCTACAAATACCCTGTCACCACAGTCCAGGTACAGTACTCCTGTGCTCTCCACAAGGACAAGCCCTGGCACACAGCTGGGTTTCCCCCACTGTGTTAGAGGAGCCTTCAAGCTGCTCCTGAGAGCTGAGTTTACTGCTTGAAGAACAAGGTGAAGCCCCAAAGCCACAGGCTGAGTGTCTCAAATCACCTTTTTTAAACCCAGGCCACAGATCCAGACTCAGGAGACAATGGACGTCTGCAGTACAGCTTAGTGGGAGGCCAAACCAACGAATTTGACATCAATGAAAACACAGGGCAGATTTTCACAGTTTCTGTAGCAGGAAAAGCTGGAACGTTTTATCTGCAAGTCCAAGCTGCAGACCAAGGCACAAGAAGACTCACAGCCCAGACAACAGTCAATGTAAGGAAGATTTTTGTGTACAATCCTGATTTACTTCCACGTCAAAATTGTAAACAAGAAGGGCTAATTTTGGTAATGGTAAAACTTATTGGAAGGGCTAATTTTGGTAATGGTAAAACAAAATTACTTAACTCTGTCAATAGGCCTGTCAGATACATGAATATTTACATACAGGAATTAAGAGGTTGCCATTTTCATTGACATATAAAAATATGTTGGCACAAAAACTGATTTTTGGAGGACAATTATTTTGGGGCTTTTTGTGGGGTTTTTTTGATCAATCTATGAGAGGTACAAATGCTCTAGAAAATTTTATCTGTGATTCTTTATTAGGTAACTGTTGATTCCAGTTCCAGCAGCAACGTTGTGATGCTGGTGCTAAATCAGAAGATCAGTGCTGTGGAAAGAAAGAGTGTTGAAGTACAAAGGTATTTTTGAAATTGTGAAGCTTATTCTGCTATAATATCTAATGATAAATTCAGAGTTTGGGATAGGGGTCTGACAGCCTGCAGCCAGTGCTCAAGAAAAGCCAGGCCTTCAATCTGACAGAGCTCAGAGTAATTTGAGTGAATTCACAGGAATCCACCAATTTTTGCCATCTAAGTTTTTAGCCTGAAGCTGACACATCTCAAAGAGGTCACTGGACTGGACAGTTTCATGTGGTCTCTTCCCACCTCAAGGTTTGCGTCATTTTTAACAGCCTAGGATAAAGGTTTTCATGGAGCAGGATAAAAATGTGGAGACATAGGGCAGACAGGACAAACCAAACCCACCATTAAATTAAAACCACAATTGGCCTTTTGGGCATATCAACAAAGATGGGAGATCTTTTGTTTGGCTACACATAAACATGTATTTACATTGGAAAGATTGAGTCCTGTGCTTATGAAGGGAAATCACTCTGAAGGTGGGAAAAATGAGTTTGTGATGTTGGTGTTATTATGGACCAGTTCTTGTTGGTAAAAATGAAATGGAAAACTTTCTTGGAAGCAGTTGGTGGTGACTGCTGCCAGAATGATGGTTTAACTGGGCCACTGGTCCCATCCAGCATGAAATCTCTGGAAAAAGAGGAGAAAACCATGAGGATTATGAGACTGAATTTCCCTCCTCCCCACCTTTACTGTTTATAGTAATCTATAGATATTTTTTTCCTCTGCTACTCACTCACTCAACAATTTTGGACAAATAGCTTAATTCTGCATTTTTACATGCTTTGACCAAAACACTGCCAAGGTACTTTTATTAGTATCAATTAATATCTGCCAAGTGTTGTACTAAATACTACTTCACTTCATTTTCAGAGTAAAAGAATCTGTCATTGCCCAGTTAATTAAAAATGTTTTCTTCATATGATGCTAGGGTCCTGGAAGAGAAACTTGGATGGAATGTATTCGTGCTTAACATCTATCCCAAGGAGTCTGACAGAAACTCAAGGAGCAGCACTGATGAAACCCACGTAGACATCATTGCTTTTGATGAGGCCCGCCAGGAAGTACCTGCAGAAGATGTGAAAAGGTTTGTGAGGCACACTCTGACCTGTGGGGGTCAGAGCTCGTGCAGACAGGACATTTTAGAATTCAGAAAGCTGATTCACTATTTACTGAAATCTAATTTCCAGAGCTCGCCAAAAACATGAGTAAGGCTGTTTCATTGTGCAAATTAGATTAAAAAGTCAGAGAAAATTTAAGAAGAAAAAGGCTGAGGGAGAAAGAATATCATTAAAATACAATTTAATAGTTTAAAATAATTAAATAATAGTTTAATATAATTAAAATATATATTGACCTGATATATATTTTTATATATATATATACACACCTGATATATATATTTACATCTGTTATATATATATATACACACACCTGATATATATATACACCATATATATATATACCCACACCATATATACAGACTAGATATATATAGACTACATATATATATCAGAGCGGCAGACTGTTGATTAAAACCCCACACTCCAGGTGTATTTTACATTTCTTTGGTAACCTGTCAGTGATGCGGATCCTAGTTCAGGTGTCCAAGCTCTGCAGCATTTCAGGTCACAAGCCCCAGGGCTGGCTGCTGGAACACAGAGCTTCTCCTGAAGGGGAGACACGACAAGCCCGAATGCTCGGGAAGCTCCTGGCAGAGCAGGGAGGGATATTCTGCATTTTCCAACCAGGCCCCATGGCCGCTTTCCCTGTGTCCCCAGGAAGCTGAGGGAGCAGAGGGCTGCCATTGAGCTGGGGCTGCAGCAGGTGTTCTCAGCCCCCGTCAGCGCGGCCGTGCCCGAGGCCCCGGCGGCCGCGGCAGCCCCGGAGCGCACGGCCGCCATCGTGCTGGGCGTGCTGCTGGCCGCCACCTCCATCGCCTTCCTGGCCTACGTCCTGCTGGACCTCAAAAGGAAAAGGTACCAGGGTTTGCCTTCACTGTGCCACCCACCTTCACTGCTGATGGGTTTAATGAAAGGTGTTTGTCTGATAAACTACCGGCTTTTGCGGGGAGCGCTGCCCGAGATTTGTTATGTTGGATGCACCACACACAACTGGAAGTTGTTTCTTCTTAGTTGTTTCTTCTTGTGTTTGTCACACAGCAAATGCAGAAACAAATAGTTCTGAACCAGAGAAATGTGGGCAGCAGAAATTTTCACTGTGAGGAGGGGCATGTGGGTCTTTTCCAACCCCATAAATGACAAAATCAAGGCAGGTTGTGCTGCTTAAATCAAGGGAGTTTTTGCTGCTTAACTTCAGTGGCAGCAGGGCCACATGGTAGAGGAAAACAATTTCCAGAAGGGAAGCAAACCATTTACCCTGCTGCCATTATGGGAAAATAGGAAAGACTCCAAACTAATCCCCAGAACAGCACTGAAAATAAATGTTGCGTATTAAATTTATAACACAAGTAACTCATCTTCTGTTTCTAAAACAACTGTAAAGCCAATCTTCAAAAAGAATTTATTATTCTTATTATTTCAATGTATTATTTTCAGAAAGTATGGGAAACAGGATTTGGTTAAGAAAGTTGATGTTATAGAGGGCATTGATAACCCGTGGGCAGATGACAAAAATGGAAGCCTGAAAAGCTTAGAGAAACCAGAGCACATGAATAATGGGTAAGTAGACTGCTGCAATCACAAATTTATAAAATACTGCCTATAAAAACTGTGGTTCTAGTTTATTTTGGTACCATAGGATTTTTCTTGGATCTCCCACTAGGCTATAGGTCCATTTTTAAGGACCCTTAAAATGACAAATTAAAAATCTCTACACTTGAAGGAAGTTAATACCTTTTAATCTTGTATCAAAGGCAAATTCTTACTTAGTCTTTAGCAAATTGTTAATCCTAATGCAGAAAAGACCCTTCAGGATACAGGAAGCTACTTTATTCCCCTGGGTACAATCCCACTAATTTTAAGATCAGTGTAATTTTGAGATGCTGCTCTTGGTTGTAGAGGCTGAGATTTTTGTCTGTGGTGCTATGAACTCTCTGACCTCTCTTAGGAGAACTGAGGTGATGTCATTTGACAACCTGGAAGGCACCAGAGGAGATGATGCTGAAAAAGATGAAATTCAGGCCCCTGAAAAAGGCAATTACCTGGAGACAGTGCTGCTGGATTACAAGGGTGAAAGTGAGGAACATGGAGCACCTGAAAAAGCTGCTGAAAGTAGAAATGTCGAGGTCCAGCCCACAGCGAGATTCACAACAGAACAGGTAATGAGATTTATGATTGCAAAACATGGAGTGAAAGGTATTTTATTGTTATTCACCAAGTAATTGAAGGAATTATCAAAAAAAATAATCCAATAGAACTGAAACCAAAAATATATTGTGAAGTAATCCCTGGGAGTGTCCAAGGACAGGGCTTGGAGTGACCTACTCTAGTGCAAGGTGTCCCTGCCCATGGCAAGGGGTTGGGGCTGGACAATCTCTTAAGATCCTTTCCACCCCAAACCATTTTGTGATTCTATAAAAAAATCTTAGGAGGAGGAGGGGCTGTTTGTCCATGCCTAGAAGAATGAGCAACACTTTAATCCAGAAGTGATGACTCTCTTCTGTCTTTATGGAATGTGAACAGTAAAGGGCTCACAATTTTACAATTTCCACCGTTTATCATTTCTCCACACTCAAGCATCTGTAGCTCTCTGCCTCACCTGTGCTACGCTTTTTTGCAGGACTCCTTTCCAACAGACACAAACCAGAAGCCAGCTCTCTCCTTCTTAACACCTCAGCCCACACTGCCTGCCCCTGAGAAAGAACTGAAAGGAGTCAAGTTTTCAGAGGTGGCAGTGATTTTGGACCCAGAGCCCGGAGATGATGAGTCTGAGGACGATGAGCCTGGAGATGATGAGTCTGAAAACTATGAGTCTGGTGATGATGTATCTCTCTGATAAGAACACTCCATGAAGAACATTTATAGAAAAACCACAATGAGACTCATTGGAACAGCTCAGAATTAAATGAGCAATAAGAATATGGGAATGCTATCCAGATTTTAATTTTGTTGCTGTTTTAAGGATGGATGAGGAAGAGAACAAGCAATATGCGGGAAGGGCTGCAGTGCTGCGCTGCAGGGCTGCTTTCCCAGCAGCAGCGCTGTCTCACTGTGTATTTAATTTCTTCTGGCACGTGTCAAAGACAAGACAATAAACCCGATTCCAGAGGCGCTGCCTTGTCATTGCTTCAGATCGAGTAATTTGGGGACATCAATTCCGTTCTTGTGCGCAGAATCGTCCGCCGCAGCGTCTGAAAACCAGAGTCTGTTTTCTAATTTTCCTGTTCTCCTCCATATTTTTTCTCTCTCTCTCTCCTCTTTTCCAGCGAGGCGGTGCCTTTCCCCGGAGCAGCCCCGAAGGAGCGGCTTTTCCCCGGGCGCAGGAGCGGCTTTTCCCGGGCACGGGAGCGGCCGCCGAGCCCCAGAGCAGCGCGGAGGCTCCGGGCGCTGCCGGGCCCGCTGCCTCCGCCCCCCGCGCCGGGAGGAAGGGCAGGGCCGGGCCTCGCCTTCCTCCTCCTCCGGCGGGGCGGGGAAGTTTCTGGCACCTTCTGGCGGTGGCGGCGGAAGCGGCCGCGGGCAGCGGGGGGAGCGGCGGAGGCGGCGCCGCGGCAGCGCCATGGCCAAGTGGGGCCAGGGGGACCCGCGGTGGATCGTGGAGGAGCGGGCGGACGCCACCAACGTGAACAACTGGCACTGGTGAGTCTCTAAAGCAGCCACAAATCCCGGGATGCGGGAAGGGCCGGGGGAGCGGCGGCCGGCGCTGACCCCGCGGGTTCCCCCCGGGGCAGGACGGAGCGGGACGCCACCAGCTGGTCCAAGAGGAAGCTGAAGGAGGTGCTGGAGGGGCTGGTGGTGGAGGGCGAGGCCGGGCGCTGCGAGATCGGCGACCTCAAACACGTGGAGGGCGAAGCGTCCTGCAACAGCCGCAAGGGGAAGCTCATCTTCTTCTACGAGTGGAACCTGCGCCTCAGCTGGAGAGGTACGGCGCGCTCCGGGGGCTCCGCGGGCACGGCCGGGCCTGGCAGCGGGTCCGGGCCCGCCGGGGAGGCGGCACCGCCCGGGCTGTGCCCGCTGCCACCGCGGCCGGCCCTGGGCACGGAGCCGGCCCGGAGCGCGGGAGCTGCCGTGACTCGGCCGGGGCTGGAGGCGATGCGGGAGCCACGTGGGCCCGGCCCGGAGAGATGCGTGTTCCCGAATAACCTTGAAACCCGAGCTTGGCTTTCCCCTCAGCCCGGCTTTCCCACCGCCTATTCCTCAGCGCTGCGGCCCCGGGCTGTCAGCGCGGTCACTCGCTTTGCTCTGCGAGAAGTGAATGCTGCATTGTGGTGGCACTGACAGCAGAGTGCGGGGCTGCTTCAGTGACACTGTGCCCAAACTGCAGCTCCACGTTACAGCTGTGCTGCTTCAGTGACACTGTGCCCAAATTCCAGCTCCACATTCCAGCTGTGCTGGTTCAGTGACACTGTGTCCAGATTCCAGCTGTATGCTCCTCCATGCTCTGGGGAGCAGGAAAACCTGGGAGATGTCACATCTCAGCTGTTTCCAAAACGGAACTGTAGTTTACATTGAGAATTACCAATTACGGGAGGATAAAACTCTTTAGTGGGAAGTAGAAATAATTCTTGATTATTTGGGGTGCTGGGGGCTGTGCCCATGCATTTTTTTGTTGTGCCATATCCATTTGCAGTCCCAGCTCTTGCAGTTGCCCTCTGCTGTGCCTGTCCCATGACAAGTTCTTTGTTTGCAGTTTGGCTTTTGGGGATGCCAAGGAATTCTTCCCGTTTATTAAATGCCTAAAACTTGACAGCACCTTGTGGCCCCTGTCTTGCACTGGAGTAAGAAGCAGGAGCAGCTGGTGGAATGAGCCTGCACAGGAAATTGTCCCTGGATATTGTAGTGCCAAGTGACAGGCTGTGCTTCCCAAATGCTGTCCTCATTCCTCAGCCCTGGGCTGTGGAGGCTGGCCTGGCTGGAATATTGCTGGGACCAGAACAGATCTGGAATTGAAGTCTGCACCCACAATAAGAGGGGACTTTAAACTGAGTACTGTTGTTTGTTTTAGGCTTGTTTTAGGTTTATATGTTTAGTTTTATATGTTCCAAGTGTGCTATAAACTGAGAGCACACTTAAGAGTTGGGGTGTAAATGTTAACAGAGAACAAGGCAAACATTAAACTCTTGTGCAGTTTAAGTCCGTGTAGGTAAAATAATTGTAATCCATTTTTTGACTTCTAAGTTCAGCTAAGATCACCTGAAGCTTTAATCAGAGGTTAGCTCGGCTTTGTGTGGTTTATTTCAGAGTACAAAGTTAGAAGCAGGCTGACAGTATTTTGTTTGTGTTTCTATGCAAGTTCTCTCTAAAGTGTTTCTCTCCAAGATGTTTGTGCTGGTCGGTGTTTAGAGACAGCTCTGACTTTGCTATGCTGAGTGAATCATGGCTCTGAGAGCTTCATTGGCTACTACACAGGAAATTCTAAAAAAAACCCCCAGAGGCTGATGATTTTATTTTTTTTTTTTGTGCTAGCCAGCATGTTGTATGTTTTGAGGGCTCTAAATTAGAAGTGAGAGTTCAGATTGAACTAAAAAACTGTAATGAGTTCTACAAGTCTTCAAGGATAACTAGGACTTGAAGCTTTGATTAAAAGGTGGATATGTAAGGACAAATGATAAAAACCCTGAGATTTGCAGCTGGTTTGGAAAGTCCCGGGTAGGAAAAACTTTGTGTTTAGCAATTTAGGTGAGAAAGAAACAAGAAAGTGAGGAACTGAGTGTACTTAATGGCACTAAAATTGAGAAAAATGGCTGTTCTGTCATTTTTAGAGGATGTATTGAGGATTTTAATGGATCACTCCACATTGTGGTGCAAGCTGTGTGGAAACACGTTTGTCCTTTTAAAGCAGGTATTTCAGCAGTGTGTTACAGCTGGCTCTTTCTGAGGTGTGTGCTTCACTCTGGACTGGCAGGAAACCAAAAAATAATTTATTCTCAAGTCTGTTACTGAATTCCAGTGAAATTCCACCACATAATTGGAGTGGTTGATAAAAAGGCAGTAAAGCTTTGTTTACATTACAGTGGTAGTGAAAATGCAGAGCTGCACTGACATTCTGCCACCAGCTCTGTTTGTTCTCTGGTTGGACTTTGCTGCCCAGCACAGCCCCTGGCACTGTGAAACTTTATTTTAAGAGTTGTGAAAACTGCTGGTAGCATTAGCTGGCTGAAGTCAGGTTTGTGTTTAGCTGCCCAGAACTCCTTCCTGCAGGGCTGCACTTCCTTTCTGGGGAGCAGCCAGAGATCAGCTGGGTTTTATTGTCTGCAGAGAGCACGGTGTGTGGTTTTCCTGTGCTGGTCCTGGTGCTGGAGAGGGCAGGAAACAGCACCCAGAGGAGGCTCTGTGGGCCCAGGAGTGTTGCAGGGATGGCACTGACCAGTTCCCAGGGTTTTTCTGAGTGTCAGGTTCTCCTGGGCCACTCTGAGCTCTGGTGCTGCTGTCCCTGTGTGGCTGTGCAGTCACAGCTCTGTGGGTTGTGCAATCCCTCAGACCCGAGTGGGGAGGGATCTTTGCACTTTGCTACAACAGCCCTGCACTGCTCTCCATGCCGGGAGCTCCTGGGCTTTTGTTGGCATCTCCAGCAGTTGGGTTCTGTCATGGGGGCTCAGGGCAGTCATTAAAGCAATGAGAGTGATGGTCAGGGGAACCCAGGTGGCTCCTGTGAAATTGATTGCCCCAGAAATTCTGCATCTGCCTTGCTGATCATTGCCCTTGTGCAGTCCTGCTCAGCCCTGGGCTGTTGGAATGGGAGTTCTGCTGATGAAGCACCTTGTTAGATTTTAATGTTCTGGCACTGAGCCGACAGACCTGCCTGGTTCTCTTCTTGCTTTCTGAAGAGATTTTACTTTTTTCTAGATTCATCTAATTAGCGAGTTAATTTAAATAACAAAGCACTTTTGCAAGGCCAGGGGGAAGAGTCTTCAGTGAAATAAAAAAGCCTCAGACCTTCACTTCAGTCCTTGCAGTGTGCTCTAAGGCAGAGCAGCAAGGGGCAGCTCAGTGGGGTGGGCCTTGGCCCTGAAGGACCAGAAGTGGAGCAGAATTCCTGTCCTTGCTAACTCTTTATTGTAAAGTAGATAAAAGTGATACCAGGTGCTCTGAATGTGCAGGTGAAGTTCCTATTTTAAAATGTCAGTTGTATCCTCTCCGTTGTACACGTGTGTGTTTCCTGGTAATGTTCCTGCGCGTTGGGAGTGTCACACAGTGAAAGGGCAAGGTCAGCATTGCAGGGAGCTCCTGCATCCAGGGCAGGCACATCCAGGGCAGGAGGAGATGGTGTTCCCCTGCCCACCCTCAGATGCACAGGCTGTCAGAGCAGCTGGGTCCCTGCCCCTCCCTGCTGCACCTGGATGGGGACACAGCTCCCAGCAGAGGCTCAGGTTCCTCCTCAGTTCCTCTGAATCAGCCCTGAGGCTCCTCCTTCAGGTAACGCCTTTGCACAAATGAGTTCCACCTGTGAAGCTCTTGCTGTGGGGGACGGAGTTTTGATGATGCATTTAAGAATTCGTTATGTTGATACAGGTACAGTGAAAGAGTCTGGTGAGAAACATAAGGGATCTGTTGAAATTCCTAACCTGTCAGAAGAAAATGAGGTAGATGATACAGAGGTAGGTGTGCAACACTGCTATGGCTCTATAGCTCCACAGTTCTTAAATAAAGTTAATCAACATCAGGCATCATATTTTGATTTATCCTGTTATTAAGTGGGGTAATTACTATGTGGATAGTTTATTTCATGCTTTTGTTTATTATACTTGGAATAATGCTTTATTCTGTTCTCAAATTAACCAATGAGGAATGTGCAGTTTGCTTTGCTAATTAATGTTTGTGATAATATTCTAACTACAAATTTGAGAAGAATTTTGCTTGTAGTCTTAAAAAGAAACCCAAACCAACACAGCAAACCACTCCCAGCCCTAAGAGCTCAGGGCATCTCTGTGTTGGGTGGATAATGGTGGGTACTGGACTCCCACAGATCCTTCAGCCTCTGCTGAGAAACCCCTCTGGGCTGAACTGGACTGAGTGGAGATACTACATTTATTTATGTGTTAAGAGGACTTAATTTTAGCAAAGGTTGGCTCCCCCAAGATCATGAATTGGAAATTGCAGCTGTCCTCTGAGCATAGTAAACAAAGCCCAAAGCTTTCCTTTGCTGCCACATCCCAAAGGCTCATGGCTGGGGTCTCATAAATGCTGTCATTTTTCTGTTCCAGATAAATGTTAGCAAGAAGAAAGGGGAAGGTGATGTCCTGAAGGAGCTGATGAGAACTGAAGGAACCACCAAAGTCAGAGAGGCCCTGAGGGACTACCTGAAAGCACTTAAAACAGGTAAATGGAACCAGGTGCATTAATCAGCACCTTGGGAGTGTCCTGTGCAGGTGCCTCTCCTGAACAGCTTGCTCAGATAGTGACAAACCCCTGGGTTTGTACTGGTGTGATCATTGATA